GCTCCCATACTCTGTCCCAGCTCCTGGCAACCTTGCAGTTCGAAAGCATACAAATGCAAGTAGATAAAAAGGTACCGCTTCGATGGGAAGGCAACAGCATTCCGTGCACTTCGGTGTTTAGTCAAGCCGGCCACATGACCACGGAGACTGTCTGCAGACAAACGCTGGCTCCCTCCGCTAGGAAACAGAGATGAGCACCGCCCCCTAGAGTCAGGCATGACTGGACTTTCATGGGGAAACTTATACCTTTACATATGTCTACACTCAATGGAACTCTCTAGAAAGTATATATAAACTCAATAGTCTTATTGGCTACAATTATCAAACAGTATCCAAAGCAACCATAGACATTTTCCACATTTACTGTGAGATTGTTCTGAAGTTGCTTAAGAACTTTAGTTTTAGTTTGTTTGACTGACATGCAAGGGAATATCTTGCTTGTAAAGTAGTTAGGAGTTCAGTAGCCCATAAATGCTGCTTAGATTTGAACTCAATAAAAGTGAACTTGATAGAAACCTATTCTGAAATATGATTTGGCACTTGTGGACTATCTGTTCTTGCACGTTAAGTAAAATACTCATCATCAGAATTATTTTTCAATGTTTTGTTAACTCCGTTATTCTTACATTACTCATTGAGTAAATATAAACCATTAAGTTTGAAATGTTTGTGGAGCACAATCCTGACAAATAGGTCCCATAGATTTCAACTGTTTAAGCACATTCTTAACTCTCCTATTGAAATCAGTGCTACCTAACATTGCTTAACTTTGATCTGATCTTGTCCTACATTTTTGTAAAACTGGTTAATTTCTGCTGTTGGTTTATGTGAAGCAGTTGCATACCTAAATGTTTTCATTGATCTTACAGTACTTGTGACCACTTTGAAAACTTCTATTACCAGAAAATAAAGAGGGGTGAAGGAAGGGAAGAAGGAAGTGGTAAACTTTTTAAGTACCATAGTGTACCCAATTCTTTAAAATCCTGCTATTCTTTATGTTGGGGACACACTTGCTTGGACAAGACAAAAAATTGACATGTTGTTTGGCAATATCCATATTTTCCAACTTTCTATATTTTTATTAAAACTATATATTCGAGTATGTATAATCAGCCTTAAAATGAAATAGTAGTAAAAACCTATGCAACAAATCAGGTTGGAAGGAAGGACGGACAGACAGATGACAGAAACTGATATCTTCAACTCCCGAGCTATGTATTAATAATGTCAGTCTGATGAATTTGGTCCTACTCTATGCATGTGTGTGGGATGGACTTCACAACTGAATAATAAAATCTTCCAAAGCCCGTCACAATTTGTGGACTCTTTTAAAGTGTCAATTTGCTGAAGATTTTACATTGGGTTGTCTCCTCATTTTTTTCTTAAGTGCCTTTGCTATACACTGGGGTAGAACAACATACTGTTTCCAGTTGAACTCAACCAGAAAAAGCTTTTCTTGTAAGTCATTGACCTTACTTGTAATTTATTTAATGGCTCCTGGCTCACTCTTGCCATTTTATTGAACATTTTGCACTATCTCTATTATTAATGTTTAATGCTATATTCGTCAGCTATTTTCTGTAATGGCCAGATGTTCACTCAGCTCTATTATGTCAAAAAAAATCTGACCAATAAACCTGTCCGTAACCAGACATTTAACTATATACTTTATTGCATTACACTTCTTAATCCCACAATAGCCAAAGCTCTTAGAGACTGCTGTCTGGTTAACAGTGTCTTATTAATGAACACACCAAATGTCTTCGTACAAAAGAGAGATGTGCCAACCTTTGACAAGGCTTCCTGCCCAGAGTGACTGTGAACTTCGCACACTACAGTATATTTACATTGCCTGCTCATCTGAATTAGCACAGGGGTCACTGACACTGGACAGGATGCTAGACTATTTGACTGAACCAAAATGACAGGGGGTTTTGCTTTGTTGTCTGTTTTTTTTAATCCTTGAGGCATTTGTGAATAAGTTTGCCAAAGAGTTTTTAGTTAAGTTTATGCTGACAAGATCTGTCTCATTTAGTTCTCCTGAGCTGAGGGCCATTTCACATTTTTCTGATGTGGATTAACTTCCTCTTCTTGGGTGGATATGCTAGGTTCAAGCCCCACTGATCAAGAGATGCCCATGTAAAAGGAATGCTACATACATCTATCCTGCCTTCTGAGTTTTCCTTTAATCCCACCCATAGCCCAGGCATTTTGTGACAGTAAAATAATGCATGGTGCTTTACAGTAGCTGATTTGTAAGCTTTAGAAGTTCACAGTCTAAAATGTAAGAGAAGGGACAAAGCTTATTTTATGGACCTAAAGACAAGACACTATGCTTACTATGTTAAAATGTGCTCTACATATGGTAGTATCTGAAACAGAAAAGACTACGTCTAAATTCCATAATGAGATCATACAGTCAAAGAATGTATGCCAACCAATATCCAATATTTAACTTTTAATTTTTAAAAAATATTTTAGAGCTTTGTACTTTCTTAAAATACATCTTTGTATACTGTTTGTATACTGTGGTCTGAGATAGAGAGTGCTCTATATCTCTATAAAAATATGCATTTGTAGGAGGTAGATCTGGTAAATGGATGATCTTATATCTGAGTAGCAGGCCGGATGACCTTTGGGAAAGTATTTAATATAATGGAATCAGGAATTAATTGCTAATATACCCTGAAACAAGTTTAAAGGGTAAATATTCACCAAAAGTTTTCACGTTACTAAGGAAACTAATTTTGAACAATGACACCTATTCAAATCTCATTGTCATCTAGGCTGCAAATTCTTTGAGCTGCCCCCACCACCCCAACAAAAGGCATTTCATTTCAGTTGTGTTCCAAGTGTTATAATTCTCTTGGACCATCTGTTAGCCTTAATTTGTTAAAACACTTATCTTTAAGGAAAAGAAACCTTTAAAAAGCAGCAGAGAGAATGGGAAATTAGCTTGCAACTGTGAATAATGTCTACCAGCTGACTTTTCAAATTCATAAGGGCAATAATTTAAAAAGTTAAAATGTAACTATATGGTAGGCTACAAACCAAAACCAGTTTATAGTTGAAAAAGCAACTGAATTCAGAGGTTGGTGAATGAAGTCTATTATGCAACGTAACATGCATCTTAAGAAAAGCATAAGCTGGGCAAAATTCACCAATACTGCTTTGTCTAGAAGTCTATTTAATGTTGCCTTCAGGAATTACACAGGAGTGCCCTAAAGCAGAAGTGGGCAGAAAGTAGATCTCCAGGTGTTTGGGGCTTTTACCTCCCAGCATTTCTGACCACTGGCTGAAATCTTTGTGATCTGCTTTCTGCCCACATCTGCCCTGTGCCACTCAGCAAGTTACACAACAGTTGTGGTGGACTTATTTAGAAAAATTGAATTAGTAGCTTGACTTCTGGTTCCTGTTTATCTAAAATACAGCTAAAATCGTCAGTTTAACAATTATAGTAGAATGACTAGCACCCTGCAGCACATTTAAGAGAGCAGTCCTGTGGCTCCCAGACAGAATATGGGATGCCACGGGATGTTGTCATTTCCCTCCCATCCCTGTGGACAGAGCTACAGACAGAGGAAAGCCAGTTGTTGATCTTCCCTCCCCTGCCTACTGCAGAAAACTGCTTTTACAGGGTAGCATTTGTTGGAGGGAGAGAAAAGGGAACACCCTGATTGGCCAGGAGAGGCTGTGTTGCACAGTATCCTGTGGCTTCTCAAGTTCCTTCCTTGCCCACCAAGACATGGGGGGTATCTAACTGTGTAATTCCATTAGTACAAATGATGTGGTTCTTATAAAAACTATGCTCTGAACTATGTGCGTGAGAAGCCAGTTAAAGTTACATTAACGTTCAGCCACTTAAGCTTGTGTAACTTTTGTGCAACCAGTTGCCAAAGCGAAATGGACAATCACCTTTTTTAAGGGTTAGGGTTTCCTGTCTGAACCCACAAATGTTATTTTTCACATCTACGATAGTAGCTGCCACAGTAGAAACATGGAGATTGGAAATTAGAATAAAAAGTAGAATAGCTTTCATCTTAATTCTGATGCTCAGAAAGCCTTTTTATTGACATTAGAAAAACATTGTTTTGTGCTTAAAAGCAAATTATGCAATAAAAGTTTCCTGATTTGCTTACATAATTCAAAAGTAATTCCTGTTTCAGCAAACAACCTTGGTCATAACCCAGAGTTGATTCTGAAGATGTGTGTGCATAGTTGGGCTTTCTAATTACTTCCTCAGAATGCAGCCTGTTCTGTAGCACAGGAAGCTTTAATCGTTTACACAGCTGGCTGCTGTTCAGTAAAGACAATTCTTAAGTTTTATGCGCCCTGTCATATTTTATGGTTGAATGAATGTGCTATTATCATTGGAAGTTGTATATTTTTAAAGTCTCTAGACATTTGTTTCACTTAACTTTCTATGAGATGTTTGATTAGAATGATACTACAACTCCAAAACCAGGAAGAACAATCCTATAAGATGAGGAAAAAAATCAAACGTGGGCTCACACTAGTAGGATGGAAAGTATGGGGGAGTTCAGTTTTCTTTCAACCACTCCCTGCTATTTCCCCCATTGAAGGATTTTCCTTCCGTGTATTTCAGGAGGATGGAAATACTTTTCCCATGTTCCAGCTGCATGTCAGAGAAACAGGATGTCTTTGGATCCTGTCAGTCTCCAGCCTCTAGAAGGGGCCAACTTGTTTTGGCCCCTTCCAACAGCACCAGCTGTAAACCTTCCTTCATAGAAGCAGCTTATAAGATTGGATTTCCCTACCTTAGAGTGAGCTTTCCTACTTTAGAGAGGGTGATCTGAAAAAACCCTGGAGCCTCTGAAACGCAAGGCTCCTGAGAGCAGAGGACTTACAACTGTTATATTTTGTTCATGACTGACAACTGATTGTAAGAGATTTAAATTTTAGGAAGTACAATTAGTTCACTTTCATATATGAACTACAAATAAAGGTTATAACTTAATAGGGGAAAATAAGTCTCTGCAAACTTTTAAAAAATAGTTTAATAGAAGGAGAATTTACATTTATAAATAAGGATTTCAGGAAAATAGATATACTGTACATCATAAACCTAATCAGAATAGATCTATATCATCCTAGGCTTGCTTCTCAGTCATGACTAGCAGAGTCTGAGCTATCAGAAGATGAAGAATCTTTCTCCTTTTTTTTCTTTTTCTTCCCTTTTTTGTGATGTTTTCTTTTTTTAGATTTACTCTTTTTCTTCTTTTCTTTCTTATGGGATTTTTGTTTTTTTGATTTAGGTTCATCCTCTTCTGTGTCACTTGAAGAATAAGATCTATAAAACAAAAGAACATAGATATAAATATATAGCTAGTGTGCTGACAAAACAGTTGGAAAGGAGAAAATCTTTGGCCAAGAATTAGCTTGGCTAAAAACACTAAAGATTCTTTTCCTAAATTCCATCATCCTATATATGAACAGTTAACTCATCATTATTTCTTTAAAAAATATGCAAAATTTGTCAACTCATGGTGATTGCATGAAGTTAACACATAGCATAGCAATTCAGGTAAAAACTATGAAAGCCAACCAATCCTTCAAAATAGCTGGCAAATAAAATGGTTTTCACCTGGTTAGGTACATGTTTATGATTGCAAGAGAATTTGAAGCAGTCTTTCAGTAAAAGAAATACCTCACTTCACAAACACTATTCATGCATTTACTTGTAGGAGCTCATGTGGGATTTAGCAGGAATTGCATTTTCTATCTGAAAACAAACTAAATTTATTTACTTTAAATATACTTTAAACACTTCTTGCTGTTTTTCCTTCAAGTTGAAAACCATCTAAGTAATTTTTTCACCAGTCTTTAAATCAGAGATAAGCAACTTGTGGCTGTCCACAGGCTGTTGCACTCCAACTTCCATCGATCCTACCCCAGCTTTAAATGATGCCATCATGGACAGAGATTCAGATTTGAATCTGAAAACAAAAAGTTTCAAGCTCCACCCTTTACTGTGCACTTAGAGAATCTGAGACAAAACTCCCAAATAGTACCTTTTCCTTGTTTTCTTTAATTTGGATTTTTCTTTGCTTTTCTTTTTAGACTTTTTCTTTTCTTCTTCTTCAGCAATGCCTATGAATTAACATTGTTAAAAATGTTACTGGTGCCTTGAATTAGGTAATGTTTTTGTTCTGAACACTTATCTGTAAGACCCCCACCAAAAAAGAATGTTTATTTGGTTTGGCTGCTATCTTGGCAACGGTAGGATGCCTGTCCTGGGGTGAGAGAGACTGTGAGAAGAAAAGATAAGACGAGATGCTCAAACTTACTCTTATTTTCTGGAATGGCTTGCAGCTTCCCCAGCTCCTCTTCCTCCGTGTCTTCACTGCTTGTGCTGCTGACATCTAGAACTATATCTCTTTTGGGGTCTACACGGAGAAAATTTCGGCACTCAAATGTCAGATGACCCGCTAAGTAAAGGTGAACCAAAAAAAAAACAACTATTTAAGAAAATTCAGAACAGAATAGTTGTATTTCTTATTCAGCAATGAGGAAAGAACTTTGCCAATTATTTGTTCGAATAGTTAAGCAATAATGCCTCAGAAATACGTGCAAGGTAGGAAAAAAAGATTGCTATTATATCATACATTTTCTTCCCCTATGATTGTCAGTGGGATTTTTCCCAACTTAATGGCTCATATACCATAGCACATCAAGTTTAAATGAGGCAAGAATGTCATAAAGAAACAGTACTCTTCTGTCAACATGGATTGACAGAAACACTTCACTATCCATCTTCCAACCAAGTTCAAACCCTGGCAGGCCCCGAGTGTGCTGCCATTCGTATACTAAAAATGGCGGCCTGTACACTCCATGAAGGACTGTGGGGAAATTAATCCATGGTGGTTTAGTGCCTCATGTGTATTGAAACCAGAGTACTGTTCTTAACCTCAAATTTTGTTACAGTGACTCTTCAAGAAGCAAAAATAATCTGATAGTAGTTTATTACAGTATAGTCTTTATTTGTTAATATGGCCAATTTAAGTTTGTATTTAAGCAAAAAGGCAGAACAATCTTAGAAAGGATGTTATACTAATGAGAAGGAAAAGAGTGGAAGAGCACCAGATGTGTAACAGCATAGCTGTTAAGTAGAAAAATAGAGTTAGCTTCAGAAACCTTCATACAAGTACAAGAGACCTTTGAGATTTTCTTAAAATAAAAGCAACAAAGCATACAGACAGCAAGGAATGCAAACAATTAACCTTTATACATCTAACCACATTCTTACTGCATTTTAGGAAGCCTCATTAGTGCACATTTGAACAGTTCACATGCCATTAGCCACATAAAACAATGATAATACACAAATGAGCTGTAATGCTGTTACAAGGGGCTTACATGGCAAAGAAGGCTTTTAGCATCAACAGTTTAATAATGTATCCAAACATTTTAAAAAGATTGTTATAACAGAATTTATACCCAAGAAAATGTATTTATAACGGCACATGGTCTTTCATGCCTTAATTAACCTCGCTTTAGCTCCACAGCAGTACCAACCAGTACAGTCAGGATGGCAATAATAGAACATAATTGGGATAAAAGGAGAACCACTGCAAGATTTCCCCAGCATCATCCTGCTCATATTCTAAGCTTGTGACAGAGGTCTTGTTCATGTAATTGCCAGTAAAACCAGTGTTATTTTGGTAAGCATAAGAGACAGGCTGGTTAAAAGAAACATAATAACCCACGGTAAAGGGCTGAGTGAGAAATCTCACTCAAATCTAGAGAATGAAGCCCTTCTGCTCCTTTACCCGTTGCTGATGGTAGCCATAATACCATTAGTGTGATCTAATGACGAATTGTGATAATTCTCACAAAATTCAGTCACATCCTGATAAACCAAGGGTTGGCAACTTTGGAGGCCAGGAGCTTAGTTGGAAACTTGAGACTAACCTGAATGCCACCTTAAAATGGCTAACAAGGGCATGTGGGGAAGGCAAGTAACCTGCCAAAGTACAGGGTAGATGTGGGGGTTTGAGACCCACAACAAGTCATTTAAAATGTTTCTAAACACCATCAGAAATCAAGTTCCAGCTGCCTTAAAAAAAACTGTATCGATGGGTGAGAGGTAGTGTGTATGTTGTGCGGTAGGATAAATTGGTGAGTAACAAGAAAGGTGTCCAGAGGGGCACTGGTGCCTACCCACATGCTAAACTAGGGAAATTTTTTGAGGGGGGGCTTAACTGTATTTTCATCAACCATCAAGGATCTCTGATGATGTTTCAGAGATTGCCACTGGCCAAACAAAGGGGAGAATCTGAAAATATTTGGCAACCGGTGGCTCAAAGGATGGTGCAATTCATAAGTTCCACAGGACTGCCAGCTTTTCTTTAAGTGTCTCCACCCCATAAGCTATTAAAATTCCAGCACTGACAATTCCTGTTCCATTGGGAAGGAAAGGCTATGGGGTTTCCAGAAGATTCTTATAGCAGCTTTTGTTTGCCATTATGGCCTCCCATTATTTCTGACAATTAGTTTCAATACTTAATAAGAACTATTCTGCTTCTGAGGAAAAATATATAATTTATTTATTTAATTAAACCTTTATACCACCCAATAGCCCAATAGCTAATGAAATGGTTCTTTCCATAAGAATCCTCTTCTGGCAAACAGCCTGATGAGTAATACTGGCTGAAGAATACTTTGCACTTTTGTGTCCAACTAGCATATAGTTTCAGTATGGCAGCCTACGGGACACCGTGAAGAAACAATCCCTTAAGAGAAATCAGACATTTTAATAGCCCTTGCCTTGAATTAATCCAATATTCCTTCTACCCCTTGCAAGGGAAAACACAGCATCAGTACTGGCATCTTTACTTTATTTATTATTTACCTGTCTCATTAGACACATGGCTTCCTGGGCGGATGTAGGATCTTTAATCCTACATCCTTTTAAACACTGGCTAAGAACACACACATTTTAACTGTACTGAAAATTCAAAAGAGCTGGACAACTAACCCTGCATCGAATTTAATCAAAATGGCTTGTGCATTTCTGAAGACAGGTTCAGATATAAAGCAAAAGGAAACCAATGGAAGAAAAGTAACTGTCATGCAACTGGCCCTTGGTTCAATCTGGTGTCAAGCTGTCAAGTCGTGTTTCTAATAAATTACTTTTACTAAGCAAACTGCAAGGAAATAGGCATTGCCTCAGGCTAGAGACAAAAGTTTTGGACAGGTTTTACGTAACACAGTACCTTGTAAGCTTCAGTTCATTCCCAGTGCTAAAGCATTGTGAAAGAGAACTGTCATGAAACTGACACTGTCTACAGTAGCCTGCCCTTCTCAAGCTGAGCAGAATACCAAATCCATCCAACAATATGGGTGCTTACACAGACACCTGCCTGGCTGCAAGTCATTTTGAGTGTCACATGATTCTACATTAACCCTCTTTTTAAATCTGATCCTGAACATGTGCCTCACATTCACATTCCCTCCTCCTCTAAGAAGCCGGCAATCCCATGTGTTCAGAAAGTCCACCTTGGCTTCAAAAGATTAGATAACAGCTGCATTTCTTCCTCTCTGTCATTCTCATCAGGGTCATGTTCTCCCACACCCTGGGTGCCTAATCAACACTTTCTACCTCCCCTCTCCATCAGGCCCTGAATCATTTCCCAAGTCTCCTTGGGGCACATAAGCAGATGTGCTAGGCCCATTCCTACAATTTTTATATCCCTTCTCCCCTCTGCAGCTGCTTACACCCCTTAAGAAAATGATGGGGGCACACCTGAACAATGTTTGATGGGGCACTGGAAAAGGGAAAATTAATCTAAAATCAGGCCAGGGGTCCACTTGATTAGGGATGATTGCTCCCTCCTCCAGAAGCTTCCTAGAGAGGAATGATGCATAGCTGAGGGGCAAAACCACATGTTCTGTATATAGAAAGGAACGCTTGCGCCCATATATGCCCTCCCACCCATTGAAATCAGCAACAGATGCCCTTCTCCGGGAACCCTCTGTGAATATTAAGAGGGTGAGTACCCGGAGGAGGACTTTCTCTGCGGTGGCACCCAATCCATGGAATGCGCTCCCCAGAGAGGTCCGCCTGGCGCTGTCGTTATTTGCTTTTCGGCGCCAGGTGAAGACCTTTTTATTTAAAACGTATTTTAATTGCTAAATTATTGAATTAATTAGGATTTTAAAATTAGCTGAGAATGCACCAGGGGTTTTTAAATGTTTTTTTCTTTTAAATTATATTATTATTATTATTTATGTATGTTTTTATGTATTTTTTGTGAGCCGCCCCGAGGCTTTGTTGCGATGGGGGCGGCATAGAAATGTTTTAAATAAATAAATAATAAATAAGGTCCCTGGTTAGATCTTCAGGTAGGGAGATCCACTGGCAGTTGGTATCAACAACACTGAGCTGGAGAGACCAAGGGTCTGTTGCATCTCATAGTGCATTCATTGTTCAGAATACTCCCAAGGCTGGGGGGGGGGGGGGGGGGGGTTCACCCGGGAAACCCCGGGGGGGGGGGGGGGGGGGGGGGATGACGACACACTGGTGACCACAGTGGGGTGAAGGGGATGGGAAACCTTTATTACATTAATCTCTTTTTGTTTACTTACATTATATCCAAGTCATAGTGTGTTGCTCTCCATTACATCTTCCAATCCATCCCAACTATTCATATGCTGTTAGGACAAGTACAGGCAACATCGTGCTAGGGATGTTTCACATAAAAGCTTATCAATGATATTGCTGTAGATACTTACGATAGCCACATTTCTTGCACCCTGCCCTGATGTTATCTTTATTTCCACCTAAAAAAGCCAAGAATATTTCATATTAGTTCTGGGAGGTGCTGAGAATGTGTAATATGCAGACAACCAGTTGCTGTCAGTTGCTATAGCAATACTGTCCATTTTACTTGCTCATTAATAAATAGCAAAACAATAGATATTGCAGTCACATACAATTACTACAACTTATGTTACATTCTCCCTTGCTTAGATGTAGCATAAGGTACCGTATGTACCAGCATAAAAGATGATCCTTGAGACCAAAAATCACAGAGCAAAAATTGGGTGTCTTCTTATATGATAAATACAAGAAAAACAGCCCCAAATATCACCCACATCTTATATGTGAGTTGCCTTATACACTGCTAAATACGATAGTCTCACAGCCAGTTACAGCATTTTGCCAGCTCTAGGCATATGCACTTTGCTTCAAACTCAGCCATAACACTTTTCCAGGTTGCACAGTTCTATGAAGCTGCCATTGTTCCTTATTACTCACAAGTAATCTACAGGCTGAATAAGGTCATATTTATACACAGGGGACCCTGGATTCAACTCATTAACACTTCTTGTCCTAGGTGGACTAATGGCAGCTTGAGTAGCATATAAAGCCAGTGAAATGTACGGGTTCTGATTGATATAAGAGTGATTGACAAAAGATCGGCCACAAATGACTAGATACAGAGAATTTGGCAGAAAGTTAATGTGTAAACAAACATGTCAAATGAATATGCATGATCTGTCACTGCCTGAAGCCAACCTTTCTAATATTACAAGACATTAACACATTATCAATGTACTTCCTTATGCATGTAAAAGGGCAATTTTACTATATTTCTTTTACAACTTCAGATGTATTAAGATATTAGATTCTCTGTCATTTTCAAAAAAGTAGTAACATAATAGAAGTTCATTTTAGGGCACGGCTGTAAGTTAATATAAAAGAAAGCAATCTAATTAACTTACAAATTAAGCACTGCCCTAGTTTGCATGAAAATAAGTTTTTTAATAGTTCAAGTGAATGGATTCATTTCCATAGAAACTACAGGGGCCAGAATAAAAAGAGCAGAGTAGTATTTACACTAGATGCATATACATTCCCTTCACTTAAAGAATTGTTCATTTCAAAAATGCTAACCTACAATTACATCTGATTATCATATAGGGAATTGGAAGAATATTTTGAATACTTATGTGATAATATAAACTGCAGGTTTGCACAATCAGGAAGAAAATTTTCCCTTGCTGCATGTGTCAGTTGGGAGCCACTTAATTAGTATGATCACTCTCATTGGGGGCAAACTGTCATGACATCCCAATCTAGCAAGGGTAGATGGCTGAGGTTTGCCTGGTTTGCATTTCATGGTTGTTTGTACACCATCCAAGCCACCCACATGGCTAGGTTCAGATATCACAACAACCTGTGCCAGCAAGAATAATTATGCTAATTAGGGGCTCACCACTGGGACACACAGGAAAATAAGCCACTGTGGCCTTTTCCCTCCATGACAGTACAAACCTCCTTTTCCTTTCCCTCCCCCTCCTTTTCCCTCCATGACAGTACAAACCTAGTCACAGACTCAATATGGTAAAAAAAAAAGAACCTGAAGAAACAAGATAAACTTGCTTAATTAGCAGCTCCATCCAACTTATCATTGAGGCTATGAATTCTTCAGGCACATAATTTAAATCCATGTTTTCTAAAGAATACTCACCATTACATAAGAACATAATAAAAGCTATGCTGGATCACACCAAAGGTCAATCTAGTCCAACACTCCAAACACACAATGGCAAACTGCTGCCTACAGGATCCCACTAGCAGGGTGGGTGCAAGACCTCCTCCTGTCCAGGTGTATGTAGACATCCCACCTCTGGTAAAGGAGGCAGCACATAGCCAGCAAGACTAGTAGCCACTGACAACCTCTTCCCTTCCTAATCTTTCAGATTCCTTTTTAAAGCTATCCAGATAGGCAGCCATGACCACTTCCTGTGGCAGTGAATGCCATAGCTTAGCTACATGCTGTGTGAAGAAGTACATCCTTTTATCTGTCCTAAGCCTCTTACCAGTCAGCTTCATGGGATGACCCTATGGGAGAGGGAGAAAAATGTCTCCCCTCTCTACTCTTTTCTCATCATGCATTATTTTAAACTCCTCTCTCAGGTCCCCCCTTACTTGCCTTTTTTCTAAGTTGAACAGTCTCAGTTGTAGCCGCTCCACACAGGGAGCTGCTCCAGCCCCCTGATCATCTGTGCACTTCTCCCAACTCAATAACATCCTTTTTCAGGTAAGGGGACCAGAACTGAGCACAATATTCCAAGTGTGGTCACACCAAAGATTTCTAAAAGGGAAGTAAGATTTTGACAGTTCTATTTTTCATGCCTACCATGGAGTTTTCCTTCTTCACAACAGCTGAGCACTGCACTAAAATTTTCACTTTCTTGCTCAGTTACTGCTAGTTCAGATTCCATCAGCGTATATTTGAAGTTGGGGTGGGGGTTTGTTACAATATGTGTTATTCTACACTTGCTTATATTGAACTGCATTTGCCATTTTGATATCCTTTCTTCCAGATTGGAGAGATTCCTTCAGTACTCCTTACAACCACCCTACAAAGTTTAGTGTCACCTACAAAATTTGGCCACTGCACTACTTACTCCCAATTCCAGATGATATATGAATAGGTTGAAAAACATTGGTCTTAATACAGAACTCTGTGGAACTCCGAAGATTACACATGTCAAATGGGAGAAGCTGCCATTTTTTCCCACCTTCTGCCTTCTGACTAGTTAGTGAGCCATAAAAGGACTCCCCTACTCCCCGCCTTTTATCCCATAACTGCTTAGTTTGCTCAGGAGCCTTTGGTGAAGGATTTTGTTAAAAGCCTTTTGGAAGCCCAAGTAAATTACGTCTACTGGATTGCCCTTGTCAACCTACTTATTGACACTGTCAAAGAGATAAGAATTCCCCCTAAAGAAGCCATACTGATTTTTTTCAGCAGGACTTGTTCCTCTGTGTGCTTACTGATTCTATCTTTAATAATGCTTTAAATAAGCAGTTTACCCAGAACAGATGTTAAGTTAATCGGCCTACAATTTCCCAGTTCCCACCTGGATCCCTTTTTAAAAAATGGTGTTACATTGGTCATTCACCAATCCTTTGGTACAAGGGATAATTTTAGGGATATGTTAAATATTTGGTAAGAAGGTAAGCAATTTCATGTTTGAGTTCTTTGATAACTTTGGGTACCATCTGAACTAGGTGACTTGCTGACTTTCAGTTTGTCAATAAGTTTGAGAAATTCAATGCAAATAATGATATTATTTCTACTAAAGTCATTATACATATATATATTAGATCAATCATCTTTATGATAGCCAATGTGCATCTACGAAAAATGAGTCAAATGTCTGTTTCATTTGCATCATTTGTGGACCAATTCTAGGTTTGAAGGAAGAGAGAAAATTTGAATCCGTTGGAAGAAGTCACATTTATATAGGTAATACTCCTTGTAGGGCAACTCATGGTCAAATTTCAGGGTAATAAATTGCAGTTCCAACAAATATTATCAATAAAGCATTTGTTAATAATGAACATATTTTCACTCATTACACTTTTTGAGGGGAGGTAGCAAATGACTCCCATCAGGACCTCAGAGTACAAAGAAGAATAGCTTTGTTTTTCATATGTACACATTAGTTTGACATGAAGTATATTATACTGAATTATTTTCTATATAACTACACACACACAAATGAATTAGATTCTCAAAATACCTTATAAGGCAATAAAAGATAAAGAAGAATGGGTTATATTATAGGAGCATAACAATTGAACAAATAGTTTTATATAGGCCCTATAAATTCAGGTAACACAAAATACAAGAGCTGTTACTTAAGAATGCAATGATGGGGCACACTGGGAGTTATACACCTCTCTTCTGTCTAAACAGGCTCAGGATTACACCTTAAAAATGTTAAGCAGAGTGCACCTTGTGCCTTTTCTGATGTAACTTCTCCCCAAGTACCCGAGATCTGAGAAATGTCAGAAAGGTTATGAAGAACCTTATACCTTTAGCCACATATAGTGCAGGTCATGTTCAATTCAAGATTTTGGGAGAATAGTGTTTAATGCCAAAGCCACTGCTGGACAAATTGATCTGTATTCATCTTGGTGTAGCACTTTTGAACATTTCTCCAGGGACAAAAATACTGCATCTTTTGATAGCTGCCAGGGCAGAAGTAGCCAAACACTGGAAATGTTAAACCAAACTTTCCTGTTAAATCTCGGCATGGAAAGGTACGGGAACATCTCAGCATGACAATTCACTTCACATAATTTAGTAACTTAATCATGCAGGATTGCTGCTCATTGAATGGAAATCTCTGAGCTCAAAAGCTTCCAAAAATCCTATGCCCTGCCACCAAAGCAGGATGGAGATGATTTCACTGCGCATTTCTCCTAAAAAAAACAGAAACAAAAAAACCCCAAGCCTCTGAGCAAATCTATCTCATTTAAGGATGAAGGAAGGACTGGATGAGTGACAGAAAGGATGTAGGACCACAACCCATCCTCTCCCCCATTCCATCCATGCTGCCCAAGTCTCTCCAGAAGTCAATCAAAAGTCCCAGCCAGCATGTCCAACAAGCACCTCGGACAAGGAATATCCCAACAGTGAAACCTGAGGATTGCCTTTTCTAAAGAGAGTTCTACAATCAAATGTATTTTCTAAAATACGTATTTAATACAGCTCTTTGAATCAAAGCTTCGTGTTTGTAGGAAATGAAGACTCTTGTAGCCCTATTTTTAAGAACTTGCATCATTTTAAAACTAGTTATGGAACTGTTTATTCAAATACTCCACCCACACAGTAACATGAAGAAACTATAATTATATTTTAGTTGAATACTATGCTATTATCAAAATCATTTTACATTATTATTCAGTTGTGGTATAGCCAATTTATTTATTTCAGGATTGGTGGGGTTTTAATGTTTGTAAACCACCCAGAGAGCCCTCTGGGCTATTGGTGTGGTATATAAATGCTATATATAGCATTATATAGCATGCACATAGATAGATAGATAGATATTAGGGTGACTTTTCAGTAAACAGAGCCACCAGGGGGAGAAATATGCAAGGTTTAGTAATTCCTTTCGCAAGCTCTCCCAAGAAGTGGCTTGACATGCTCTCTGCTGCAGTGTTCTGGCTTCTTACTGTTCAAAGCAGATGAAAAAATGTTAGAGCCTGTTTCCTATTCAAATATCCAGCACAGGGTAAAAAGCCCAATTTTGAAAGCAAAGGGCATAAGGGAAGTGCTAAATCCATGGCTAAATTTGGTATTACCGTATTTTTCACTCTATAAGACGCACCTTTTCCCCCCTCAAAAGGGGAAACGTCTGTGCGTCTTATAAAGCGAATGTGTGTGCCCAACGCCCAGGACACTGCTGGCTCGCCTGCACCACGTGGCACCACCTGGCTGGCACACTCTCAGTGTGCGCTCCTTGGCCCCCCTCCTCCGGCGCAGGTGAGAGCTGTGCCGCTCAGGGGGAGCAGTGCGGAGGAGGAGCTGTGGGCTTTAAGCCGCTGGCTGCATGGAGAGACGGACTGCTCACCCCCACCGCCGGGGAAGACCTGGCGCAGAGGAGGAGGAGCTGCGGGCTTTAACCCATCGGCCACATGGAGAGACGGACTGTTCACCCCCACCACCCAGGAAGACCACTGCCGGCACGCTGCCGACCCGGCTGGCCGGCACGCACCCTGCTCCGCCCCGCTCCTCCGGCACAGGTGAGAGCTGTTAATCACAGGTCGGTGTGTGTTTTCAAATGGCAACCCATCTTTTAATGAAGCCCATGGGGAAGTGATGGGTAATGTGCCTGTGATTATCAGGAAGCTTTCCATGGATCCCTCCTCTAAAAACTAGGTGCTTCTTATGGTCTTATAGAGCGAAAAATATGGTATTCAGGTAACATAAAAAGGGAAGGTAACTATGTTGGCCAACAGGAAAATCCAAGAAATGGTTCCAGAATCCATATCATCATTAATTCAGTCAACGCAAAATCAGAAAACACTGTGCAAGCTTTTAAGTTTTCCAGAATGCTTCATCAGGCAAAATTAATTGAAAAAACAATAAAATGGGAGGGGGGAGGAGAGGGGAAAAGTGGCTGATACTTAAGCCAGGAAATCTGCATTTGATTATAGTCTTGAGATGGAAAGTGGGAGAAGGCTGTAAACATACAAATACGGGTTGAAGGGAGCTTTGCCTTCCCACCCACTCCCCACTTCGCTCCAATTGCCAATTGCACTGTGACTAAGAACTGCTGATGCATTTGTGTGTGTTTTTCTTACTGTTGTTGTAAGGATTATTCGAACAGAAAGTGAAATATATCTCTTTGAAATGTTTCTCCTTTATTAATTCCTGCACATTCTGACCAACTTGGTGAGGAGCAAAACTTATGGCAATGGAGCTGAAGTATCAATGGGCACGCAGGCCATCTCAACAACCACAGTTCTAAGCATGGATCCCCTCTATGCTCACTTTCCTTGGTACATGCAGCTAGATACGCAGGTCAATATAGAATATATGCAGATAATACAGAAGGAAAAAAATAAATACTGTTAGGTCAGTACAGGGGAAAAGCCACACTGCAGTTTTTGAACTATGTGTGATCAAATAGAGGAAAAGATCTTAGGAAAAATTTGCTGCAGGGGCTTGAGTGGAAACCTTTTGCTGCTTCTCTCTCCATGCATCTCTTTTCCTAACCAAAGGAGTAGGAGAATAACAGAATGCCCTATTGAGTCTCCAGGTAAGTAAAGTTGAAACAGTAAGGGCTATTCAGGTCTGAATAGCCCAAGAAAGGAAGCATTTGAGGGGCAAAGCATTTATTGCTGAAAGGTATGTAGACGCTGACACAGCAAGTGCCTGCTGGAAAGAATCATAATGGACATCATGGGTAGTGGCATAGGACAACAGGAAAAAAAAGTAACAGCAGCATTAAAATGGTCAAATGCACAAGCAAAAGAAGTAACTATAAAATACCCACAGTAAGAAAAATTTAGAAATTGAATCGCTACATTCCAATAAGGGTTACACCATCAAATTCTTGTTATCAAAATATGTTTACTAAGTATTTTAACTGTAACTCTAAAACCTCTGGGGAATACATTTTGATATAACAGAACTTGACCCTATTGACCCTGATGAATTGCCTAAAATATTTAGAATAAAGTGTTCAACTGTATTAATAAATTCTCCTTTGATTTCTCCTTGAAGTATAGGGACAGATCTAGACCAAGCTTTTTCTTGTGCCTAAACAGATGCATATTTCTGGTATGGCCTTTTGGAACTGAAGCCACTTCTATGCACAACACACAATTATTAACTAATCCCAAACAGCATTAGGTCAGGAGTGGGCAGACTTCTAGTAATGTATCAAATAGATCGCACTAGCTCAAAGCCAAAATCCACTAACCTGAGCCAAGGGCCAAAGATAGATACTTTGAATTGCAGAATGTTGATCCTAGGAATACGTTTTGAGTACCAGAGCTGAGCTACAATGACAAACTTTCCACATAAAAATACACTCCTAGTTGCTCATTTCACCTTTTTTCATTTCAACAGTATATATATTAAGTATATATTATACAGTATATATATTAAAAACATAGGAAGAGTAATTCTGGATGAGACCAAAAGTCCATCTATTATGCTACAGAACATGCAATGGAGATATTACTCTGTATAAAGTTTAGTTTTGGGTTTTGAAAGGACACAACTCCATTCTTCCAACTAGACCCAAAGAGCAAACCATGTTGATATATATTGTTTGGTACCACTTCTAAAGTATCCCACTCAGAATGACACACATATAGGCAGCAATCCTATGAACATTTATCTGGAGGGCCCATTCCACAGTGCGATTATAACAAGAGATTTAGGGCTTCTTTCTAATTTAGCATATTGTGACCCCCCCATTCCTTTTAAATGCAACTTTAAAATTAATTGATAAAACCTCACTTTTTGTACTCCTGAATTTGTCAAGAATACAGAGTAAACCAAGATTATAAAACATCAGAAATCTAGCATTTGACCAGATTTCATCAACATACAAAACAAGACATAATCTCTTAAGAAGCACAATTCTGCACAGCAGGGTTGGACAGAAAGTAGACTAAGATCTACTGCGATATGTTTAGGTAATTTGCTGGTCAGCAAGCATTTTTGCCTCCCAATTGTTTAACCAATGACCACAAAGAAGACACCCCCTCCCATGATACTGTGGAAAGTATTAAGACTGAAATGGGTGATTAGGAATGGATTTTTGCGTGGAAAGGATATGAGCTCAGCACGTGTTCTCAACATAAATTCCTAGGCAAATAATTAGATAGTTCAGAGTACAGGTCTTTTGCTGCTAGCTCTGGTTGGTGATGGAGTTCTATTGAAGTGCCAGAAACCCCAACAGTCTGAAATCTGCCAAGAAGGACTTATTCCCAGGTAAGTGGACGCAGGACTGTGGCCCATGCCCGGAACTAAATCTCACTGAATTCAATAATATTTATTTCTTAATAGATATGCACAGGGTTGTACTGTTAGCCCCTCGAACCCAGTTCAGCTGAGTGAAAGTGTTTTTCAACTTCCCTTTTATCGCTCTCCCTGGGTAGAGTGACACAGGAACTGGAGCGAGCAACTCCTTTTCACACGGCCACTATCTTGCACGTGCCTAGTCCTCTCCCCCTTCCACTTCGGCAGCTCACCTGGCAACGCCATGCAACCCCTGCAACCCAGCCAGTCTCTAACCGAAGCCACACGAGGTCCAACTGTTGGTCGGGCGACTTCACGGATGCAACGCTTCTCGGCCGGAAAACTTTAAAGCGTCACGATGGGTTGTACCATTACAAAGGGGGGAACGCAGCCATATAGGGTGGCGTGTGTTGCAGAAAAAGCAACAAATTCTTCGTCGAGCAAGGAGTTGAAGGCTAATCTGACGTTTGACGCAAAGGTTCCAGGGCGAAGGTTGCTTCGAGCTACGGAAATAAGAGATAGCCCCAATCGTCTTAACACGCATCCCCCTTCAGCAATGTGATGGTCCTCTTTTCATGAACCTATCCTAAAAAGAGGCGGGCTAACTAATCGATTGATTGTGCCTCGGGTGAATGGAAATTTCTGTGGTTTGTTTTGTGGAAAAGCTCTTAGAAAACCCCGATTTTGTTGACTCAATATAGGTCCCATTGAGTTTAATTAGGTCGACGGCGCAAGCCTATGCATGACTGCTCAGAAGGAAGTCCCAATGTCTTACTCCCATCTAATTGTGTATAGGATTGTAACTTTCATTATTCCTTGAGCTCCATGGGAATTAATTGCGATTAAAAATGCATCGGATTGTGCAACATGTCGATGTTGTTGGATTGTTTCTTTGCTGCGGGCTAGAAGGATAAGGCTAGCAATGGCTACCAGTCCCAAGGTCTATGCCTTCAGTATCAAAGTTGCCTGTGCACACCATTCCTTGGGGAACTTGGGCAGAAACGTGCTGCTGCACTGATGTCCTGTTTGAGGGATCCTGTGGGCAACTGGCTGGCCGTTGTCTGAACAGAATGCCGGACTAGATGGGTCCTTGGTCCGATCCAGCAGTAGTCTTCTTTTGCCGTTCCCTGGAGGATGGATTCCTGGTACCCTACAGATGCGCTGGAATTTCAACTCTCATTGGCCCCAGCCAGGAAAGTCAATGGCCAGGAATGCTGGAAGTTGTAGCCCAGAACAACTGGAAAACACCGGGATGGGGAAGGTTGGTCTATCTGATATGAGCTACGAGTTGTTAGCCATGACGTGCCTAAACAGAACCGCCGCCCCCCAGTTTATGTAGTAACGGAATATCATTTATTTGAGGGAGTGGAAACGTTAAAAACAGCCACTGCCTTCTTGCTTGTGAACTGTCTGGAAGGCTTCTGCCTATTTATTCCAGATGCTAGATTTCATGAACCCTTGACCTGGTCCAGGAGAACTCTCGGTTTGTTGCTACCTGTTTGTACATTTCTAAACGTTTCTTAAATGTCGAAGTGTGGTAAATGTTTATCGCAGAATCGAACAACATTTTTCTCTGTGCGTGTTGATATTTATCATATTGGGAGATTTTCCACGTTAACAGCCGCCTTGAAAGCTTAACAAAGGAAACCTCAGAATACCAGTGTTTTAAGAGCACGATCCTATACCGCGTTTAAACAAACCAAAGTCTTACAACTCCCGGCATGGCCCGGTTGTCTTTTTCCGTCTAAACATGCATAAGATTGCTCCCTGAATGGAAGTATTCATCCTTTCTTGGAGTAAGTTCCACTGAATGCAGTAAGGCTTGCTTCCAAGGTATCATGCACACGACTAGACTTTAGTATCGAATTCTCATCATATCAGCGGTGCAGGAGCAATTGTCCACCAACAGCTCGGAAGCGGACAGAAACACTTCAGCTGACGTTTTTCAGGCGGAAGACTTTGAGTGCTGCACAGTGCGCTGTACCAATAACTGAAAGCCAAGGGGAACGCATCGTGAGGTCGATAGGGAACATGAAGATATTAGCTCAGTCTGGTCTCCCTAAGGGGCTGTCCTGGCTTAGAATGTCTTTTAAAATGCCGGTGAAGGGGGGTTACGGACGAGACAGGGTTGTGAAGGCTTGAAGAGTTTTTAATGCTGATTCCACCCCACACACGAGAAGTGGTAGCTTCCAGTTCCCAACATGGCGGGAGGTTCCCCTTGAGTTATTGTATGGGCGTTAAGGAACTCTGTCTTGGTTTTTACGTTTTCTTCGGACAATTGGTTGCGTTGAAGTCCACACCATGAGCAATATCTACATCCAGGAACCACCGACCAACGGGAAGGTAAGTGGCCACCTTTGATGTACCTTATTTAGAAGACTCGAAGAATTATTCTTGCATACGTTTTCTTGGATTGTAGCAGATGCGTAGTATATTATGGAGTGTTTCAGTCTTATTATTCTTATAAAATTGCATTAATATACTGCCCTGTTTCATCTTGTCAGGAACCCTAAACGGCTTCCATGGCTTCCTTTTTATCCTCACAACAACAACCCTATGAGATAGGTTAGTCTGAGAGTGACGCACAGTCACCCAGTGAGTATTTGAGGACGTTAAATGCAAGAAACGATCATCATGTTATTAACAGCTGTCAGTTAATGCGGTTTGCTGATAACACAAATCCTCTGACACTAGGATAGCCAATTTACACATGTGGAATACAGAAGAACATATATCATGTTGGAAGGTGAGCAAGTGAATGGAAACCTAATGTTTTGTGTGTGACATTATTAAATCCTGTAGTGCTTTTCTGCATAATTCAAACTGACCAGGACCTATGGAAGAGTGTATGGACACAACTCTGACATTAGAAATGGTCATATTCAGAAATCAGTGGGAGAATATTTCACTTTTCCAGGACATTCTGTCACAAACTTTAAAGTGCCAGTGTGGGGTAGTGGTTAAGAGCATGGGACTGGGACTCAGACGATCTGGGTTCTAGTCCCTGCTCAGCCATGGAGCCAACTGGGTGACTTTGGGCCAGTCACAGACTCTCAGCCCAACCTACTTCACAGGGTTGTTGTTGTGGGGATAAGATGGAAGAGAATGGTGTAAGCTGTCTTGAGCCCTTTGTAGGAAAAAGGCAGGATATAAATCAAAAAATAAATAAAAATAAAATAAATAAAATAAATACACAAATTTCAAAAGGATTAGTGAGAGAGATTGACAAGTTAGAATACCTCAGTGGGTTAAAGCACCAGAACTTTGAATCATAAGAAAGGATTTTTACCACACTACTTCTTTAATTGTTTTACATTATCGGTACCAATTTTACTGTAAAGAGCTGTTATTAATATCATTGTAACTACTTCCATTTAACTTCCTTCTGATCTAATTATTTAGCATATTTCCCATCCTGTCATCTGTCTAAGCACCTGAAACCCTATATTGCTTCAAGCATCTGCTGAAGTGGGCTATGTTCTGCAAAGGTTATACCAGAATAAATTTGTTACTATATGTGATGCCATAAGAATCTTGATTAGTTTTGCTGCAGTAGACTGAGTCCTTTGCATATTTAGACAGAAAAAATTATACAGCATTCCCTAGCTAGTATCACCTGCTGGAAAACACTGGTTGTTGCAGGACATTTTCTCTGTCTAAACATACATGGGATTGCATCATAACAGTGCCAGCCACTAGAAATTTTCTGGAACATGTCATTTATTTCAGAACAAGTTGACCAACAGTAGAATCTTTGCCTACTTGGGAGGTAAAGATTGAATTGTGTATTATTTGGAAGTAAACACCACTGAATTCATCAGGACTTACTTCTGAATGAACATGCATATGGCTGGGCTGTAAGGCTGCAGTTTTGTATATACTTAGTGACTACTAACATTTTGATTGTATAAATTAGTCTAAAAATACCAGTAGTGATACGAAATAAGCCATGATTGACTGTTCCTATTGTAACAGGTATAGAAAGTATAGAGTGAGGGGAAACATAGAAACAGAGCAAGTCAGAAGGGGCCTCTTGAGCCATCTAGTGTGACCCTCAGCTCCAGTTGACTCCAGTTACAACATGCCCACCATATGCATGTCTAGCCTGTCTTGGAACACCCTCACTGATGGGGCCTCAACGACCTCCCTCCTGTGGAAGCCCATTCCATACCCTCGGGGTCCTAACTGTCAGGAAGTACTTCCTGGTATCTAAATTGGACCTGGGTTCCCTGAGCTTTGCTCCGTTGGAGTGTGCCCTGCCTTCTTCTGCAGGGGAGAACAGGTCTCCCAGGTATTTATTTCAGTGGAAAAGGTAGGCAATAGATATGAGTCTGCTTAGGGAGAGTAAAACTTAGCATGGCTTTTTATATTGTAATGCAAAGTTTTCTGCAAGTATATACTTAGACCCAATAATGCAGGTTTTCTTGGAGATCTTAACTCAGAAACATTTTTGAATAATTTTGAGAAAATATTTCAATGACCTAAATCAACTAAGATCTGTCTGACTTAGTATGATTTACTTGCAATTAATAAACTGAACACAAATAAAATAATTGTTGTGTTAATTATTATATGTGTTTCATTTTTTCATAATAGCCAAAAGAATTTGAACTGAAATATCCATAGGAAAATATCACTATTCTATTACAACAGATTGAAAGATTTACTTGCAAGTTATTTTTATTCAATTTCTTGCAAATACTTTAGAACACACTTTCCTTACATTGTCCCTTGTTAAGATTTTTTTCTAATTTTAGCAATATGAAGTGTTATTATAAATGTGTAAATGTTTCCTTGGCATGGTAACCTGGAATACTGTTAGGTAGTCATCCTATGGCTCCTAGATAGCATCAGAGGAACCATTGGATATTTTCAGTTCCAAGATCTGAAGTCAAAGATAGCTTTCCAACCTTGAGGCTGAGAAATAGAGCCCCTGAACCTCTTCCCTTCTCCTGTGCAGCTAGCACAGAAAGAACCACACCAGCACCAACTTGGAGAAGCAAACTTGGAGAGGAAGAAATGGAGGAAGAAAGGGATAGAAGCTATCTTGAAGCCTCTTTAGCCTCCCTCCTTCCCTCTGCAAAATGCTGCACCTAAATAGCCAAGAAAAGTCTTATTAACTGAAACTACAAGGCATGAAGATGGGGAGGCAGAGATATCCTTCATCACTCCTAACGCTCTTACGGGCATCTCCATAGGAGTATGCCTCAATTACACAATAGAAATTAGTCAGTTTGACTGTAACCACTTGTTAGCTTATTCAAATGTATTATTAAACCATGGTTTTGCATTATGAGAGAGAGTCGTAGCAAGTCTTGGCTCATGTGCTTCCTGGTCCCTGTCATTCTCTGGATGGTTGTAAGGAGTTCAGAAGCTTTTGCTTCCACCTATGCAGCTTACTGTGTCATCTAAATTCAGACCAATGGTAGCTAATCTTAACTATAGTTAGTTGAATCAAGCCAAAATTGTACCATATTGTACAAATCCAGCTTGTTTCAACTAACCATAGTTAGGTTAACCACAGTTTAGAGTTTGGTTGAAATGTTAAGCTGCAGTTCATGTAAACCAGAAAGAGAAGCTCTCTATCTCCTTGTTCATGGGTGCATCAGAGTTGGAAAGGGGAAAGGAGAGTATGTGAACCCCAGGCTTATTGATGCTGTTTCTCTTAATGTTGGAGAACATACCAGTATGTTACCAGTTCACACTGCATTTTTATAAATATATTTTTCCTATGGAGAAAAAATCACAGAAAGTTCTCCATCCCGATCTCTGTTTGGGTCTTGTGAGGGATTATCAAAATATTAAGGCAGTTCAACACTGGGCAGAAAACTGCTATTGATTACAGAGTGTGCCATGCCTAGCTTCTAGAAAAACTCTTAAACTGATTATTTTTATGTATTCTCTCTATAGCTACAGTGTGTAGAGCAAGCCATGGTTTGCATATGATATAGTTTGGGGATTGAGAAGGGAGGTTTGCAGTGATGGTAATGAAAATAAGTCTTATGTGGGACTTCCTTCACCTCACATTTTAGCAATACTCTGAGAAAAGAGGAATTTCTGGTGGAAGCCAGGAAAGTAGCCATGCCTGCAGAATGCAAGTTGTACTTACTGGACTGTGAATATATCTGTAACATGTCCTTTTATTCTTCCATAGGTTTTACTGAAAACAACAGCTGGAGATATTGACATTGAACTATGGTCCAAAGAAGCTCCCAAAGCATGTCGGAACTTTATTCAGCTCTGTATGGAAGGTAATGATTAAGGATAGTACTTGATTATATATTACAAATTGCCAGATTTTCTCTGGAGTATATTGTGGATTTCATTGGTTTGTTGCTTGGAGCTCTAGTTTGAAATAAAGAAGGAAACAACACTTTTAAGTCTCCAGAAAGTACCTGCAGTGCCTCATAACAAAGGTAAGGGCCCCTGGACATCTAACCAGGAGAATTCCTAGTGACGTCTGGCATAATCTGGAAAAGTAAAGCAGCAGCAGGACTTTCTCCAGATGTCTTATTCTATTCTTCAGACTGAGGGGACTCTATCATTCTTCTAAGCCATCTGCACTTTTTGGAAAGATGGAGTCTGCTTTGTATGGAAGAGATCTGGACAAAATTAGAAAGTTCAGAAAAGCCCTTGGGGTTCCTTCTTGTATCCCAAATTCCATGCAAGTACCAGAAGACCTTGCTTCTTCTTGAGTCCTCTGACAAGTTTGAAGAAGTGGGGATCTTTCTGAGTTTAACTAAGATTAAATATTTATTCCCACTAGTCCTTAGTGAAACTTCTATCCAACAGTTCCTCTTCCAAGTCCTCTGAAATTTGGGAGAAGGGAGATGGAAAGAAACAGCAATAACAGACTAGCATTGTGATTTTCTTAAATGATGATGGTATAATATATTTCCCCCCTCCCCAAAATTTTATGAAATGTTCCCCCTCCCCAAAATTTTATGAAATGTGTTCTGTGTATGTTTTACTTTGCAGAAAAAGTAGTTTTAGTGACACAGTGAGATACCCAGACATTTTCAAATGGATTGTGAAAAAGGATATTTGAGAACTTTTGCTAGATAACTGAGCTGTGAGGTTGACAGAGTTTGTTGTGGGTCATTTAGGGGCTGTCTAGTATTTTTGAATTACTCATGGCGAAATACTTATTTAAAACCTCTGATATGTTGCAATGGAGATTTTGGGCTTGCATAGCCTGGAAAATTAGCAAAATTCCTCAACTTTTTACATATGTGGTTAATTTTAAAGAGGAATGTCATTGAATGAATAAAATTCCAATTAAAATTCTGAATTCTGCAAATAATTAACATCTTGAAATTTGTGTATACTACTCTAATACCCATTTTATTTCCAGATTATTACGACAGTACAATATTTCACAGGGTTGTGCCTGAATTTATTGTGCAAGGAGGAGATCCAACTGGTACTGGTTTAGGAGGAGAGTCAATCTATGGGGCCCCTTTCAAGGTATTTTCACTTGTGTTTTATTTTGAATTTATTCCATCATTCTATACCTTTGGTTGAGATGTCTTATGAGTCAATAGAAGCATGGTCCAGTTAGACTATTACTTTCTTGGAAGTAGGTCCCATTGAACTAAGAGGAATTTACTTCTGAGTAGACATGTCTGGGATCATGCAGTTAGCCATGCTTGGATTTTTGTATATAAAATTCCATGCTAAACTCTTGTGGTAAAAACATAGGCTATTAATAGACTATTAACTTTGATATGATGGCCAAGTAGCAACTGAGAATGAACAGTCTTTCAAGATTCCCTATATATATAATCCCATACAGGGATGAGGGATTTGAAATCATTAGCTCCCTTTGTAAAAGAAGTTTATCATTATGTTGTACCTTTGGAATGAACAACTCATACTACTACTTACTAACTTAAACTGGTATAACTAAAAAGTTTCTATGTTTGTAGACTATCAAAAAACATAACTTTACCTATATTGCATCTTCTTAAAATTGATTTCCCTTCCACTCTGCTTAAGGGCTAGTCATTGCTGGTTTTTCCAAAAATATTTGAGCTTGCTCACATAGAAAAAAAAAAAAAAAAGCAAGTGCTATAATTAAAGCAGTTGGTTTACAAGTTGGCAGTAAGTAGTGTTGTGATGAAATGCCCTTGAACTTACCCTATGTATATCAATGGGCAATCTGTTGAATGAACAAGTACCAATTAAACCTGTGCACTAATTGTTCTTCTTAATTCAAAGGATGAATTCCACTCACGATTGCGCTTCAATCGTCGAGGACTGGTTGCCATGGCAAATGCTGGCCCTCATGATAATGGCAGCCAGTTCTTCTTTACTTTGGGTCGTGCAGATGAACTTAACAACAAACACACCATCTTTGGAAAGGTTTGTGAGCCTTCTATCCCATTATCTGTCTGTCTGAACTCATATGTGTCTTTATGCAAAAATCTCCCATAAATTTCCAGCAAGATCTGTCGACCCCTTTGGAAGAAATCCCTGATGAAAAGAGTGTCTGAATAATAAGATTTCAATATGTTAATTTAGCATGAAAGGTAACAAAAGCATGAAAAGGAATGAAAGAAAACGTGAGCAAAGTGGTCATTTAAAAAAGGAAGTAGGAGCAAGAATTAATATAACTAATTCTCAAAGGTTCATTCCGCCAGCCTTTCACAGAGCACTTGGCTGAGTTGCAGTAACTCAGATGATCAAGCCATACACTGAGTCGCCTCCCCACATTAACTCTTTTGCTAGACTTGATCATGGATGCAGAGGAAAAGTGATGTTAGTCTCTTGCACAGTAACTAAGAGTCTCATGGCAATTTACAGATACTGTATGTAGGACTTTAGAGATACTGCTCTTTAATCTAAGCTCTAGGTCATTGTCCCTGAAAGAATCATGAGTAAGCTTCTATTTGTTCTCACTCTGCTTCGTTTCTCTGGGGTTTCTTGTCACTGCCTCTCTTGAACCTACAGTAATCTGGGATTTATGGGAATACTTCTTGTTTAAAGGAGGACCACTAACTGTAGAAATTGGGCCCACTCCTTCCATAATACAGCCTTCAAAGGTTGGCGACCAGATTCTGATTCAGAAATAGAAGAAAAGGTGGGGTTGGAATTTGCAGCTGAAATGCCAAGGTGGATCCAAAGATGAGCCAGGCAGTTTCAGCTTGGAGGTAGAGGGATTCTAGAGAACAAACTGAGAGGGATGGGCAGACCTAACAGTAGTGGTCCAAGTATATGTGATCAGGTTGAGAGGACATACCAAAAGAGACATGTCAGAGGTTCCCAGAGATGGGTCCATAAGCAGCATGATCCACCCTTCAAGGTGGAGCTGGTTCTTTATAGAAGTATTCAGTTTGGAATCAATTTTGCATCCTTAAGTTGCATTTCCTGATGGGCCTGTATTCTAACTTTGCTTGTGTCTTTTGTACTGACTTCTGCAATATTCTGCCTTTGTATGGCAAAACTAGCCTAGCTGGACAGATTTAAGGCATAAAAGGCTTTAGTTAGAAAATCTTTTGTCTTGTTCAACTTGAAAGAACGGAGAGTTGACCTGTACATGAGTCTTACAAGATGTCAGTATCTTATTGCTCATATAAATTGCCCATAAAATGGCCTGTAACTTAGATGGGCAATGCTGACCTTTTCTAAAATGATATTTGTTTGTTGCAAATACTGTTTTTATTATACTATTATAACTGTTGATAATTACTTTATATTTGAAATGGGTGACTTCTGAGTAACCGCTAAACTAAACAATAGAATACCTGCATAATAATCAAGTAAACAAAAGTATTTCTGTGAGCCGTCCCAAGGCTATGTAGCAAGGGGACGGCATATAAAAACTTTAAATAAATAAATAAATAAATAAATAAATAATGCACCGTATTTATATCCTGCCTTTTTCCCTGCTTGTAAGAAACCCAGGACAACTTACAGGGTTCTCCTCTATTCCATTTTTATCCTCACAGTATCAACATTATTGTATGGTAGGTTAGGCTGACAGTGATTGACCCAGAGTCACCTGTGAGTTTCGTTGCCAAGTGGAAACTAGAACTCAAATAGCTCAGGTTCCCAGTCTCGCACTGTGCCAAACTGGTTTTAAATACACCTAAATTAAGTTGAATCAACAGCTGAGCTCATGAGAAACTTTGCAGCAGAATTTTTGTGCACAAGATGCCCCCCTCCCCCCGACTAAAATGAACCTTAATTTCTTCTTCTTTGGTTGTTCACAGCCATGATAATCAGTCTCATATTACTCCTTTGCCACTGAATGTAGCACAAAATGGAAAATTATTCTTGCATTGCTTCAATAAGTGGGTGACCCATCCAATGCTAAATTGCAACAGCTTGAAGACAGGGAGAGTTGCCTCAACAACAACAGTGGATGGATTTCATAGGGAGCATCAACAAAAAGGGAATCTAACAGCCAGGCTGCAAGTTAGTGCCACTCAGCCTTAGTCTACATTGCCAAGATCTGGCACAGGTATCTTTTCAAATCACCATTCTTGGAAACAAACTTACTTTTCATGCTGTCAGACCAATCCTGCTTTTGCAGGATCACCTTATTTAAACTAATTGGAATGTACATTGAAAATAATATATGTTTTTATGTTAGGTTTTAAAAACCCCATCTAATTTGGCAGGTTACAGGTGATACCATATACAACATGTTAAGACTTGCAGAGGTTGAAACCGACACAGATGAAAGACCAGTCAATCCACATAAAATAAAAGGCACAGAGGTAGGTGCAAAGTTATCTGAAATAGATTAAAATAGGCATTTTCTTTGATTCAGATAGTGATCTGAATGAGTCATGTCGAAACTCTTGCATTTTATATTTGCAAATATATATCATCTGTCAGGTGTAGTATGATTTACGCTGTTGGTATTAGGAATTTCAGATTCACTGTGTCAGTGGAACAAATTTCCAGTATTTATTTAAGATACTGTATACAGTAAAGCTGAAGTGGTTTATATAAAAGCAAAATAATGCTTACAATCACTTAACACAAAATGCAGTAATAATTTAGCTTCAACATAATTCCACAGGCTATTAATACAGATTACATTCCATGACTACAATATTTTTAATGGAAAGGGCATGCAAAAAGATGAGTCTGATAACTTTTCTCAATTGTCATCCGAGAGTTATAATTTCTGACCTTGCTTATGGGTTTATTCCAAGATTTGAGGGTAATCATAATAAAAGCCTTAATTCTGATTGCTGATTATTTCATTTCCAAATATGGGATATAGGACAGAGCTTGAACTGAATATCATAGTTAACATGAGAAGATTTTATAGAAGTACAGATGTAAAATTTCCGGAATAGTTAAAGCCACAGGGAAAAAATTTCCAGAAAATCTAAAATCTTGGGAGAAATTTTAAAAATAAACAGTACTTCTTTTTGTTTAGTGTGCTTTACAGACCTAAAGACATTTTGCTGCTTTAGAAGAGTTTCATGCCTACATGTGTTTTGGACTTTTCACATCAGTCTAAGGCAACATGGTGTATAATTAGGAATGTTGCATGTTTTAGTTAAAAACGTCTGAAGGCAACAGTTTGGGAAAGGCGGCTTTCAGAACATAACCTTTTGTTATGTATAATTTGGTTTGCTCTATTCTTTCATTTTTGGGAAGGAAAGAAATGGTCTGTGGAAAAATCTGAATTCCAGTCCCAAATTGTTTATGTTTAGCATTCGTATATTTAGAGTTCCATTCCTATCAGCCCCAGGCAGCATGGCCAGTTAGTGGGAAATTATGGTTCCAAACATCTGAAGGTAACAAGAATTGAGAAGATCAATCTATGGTGTCAAAAGCTGCTGGAAGAACAAACAGAATAAAGAGGATGTAATCTCTCTGTTGAGCTCCAGGGGCAGATTGTCACCACGGCCACTAACTGTCTTATAGTCATAGCCAGTCCAGAACTCTGGCTGAAAATACTTAAGTACAAATGTTTAGTGCAGGAATTATTGGAATTCTCCTCTTATTGCATGCTTGATTAACTTTCCTGAAAAGGGTAGGTTTGATATTGTTCTATAAGTGGCTGGGCCATCCTTAGGAAACGCTAATTCTTTGGAGGATTAGCCATTTTACCATTGACGTCAGGTTTGATGATCCTTGCCCACATGCTTCATTTTTCCTATACTAACTGGATTCAGATAACATGATAACCTACACACAAGGTCAAGTATGGATTGAGGGTGACTTATCATCTTCTCTGAACCCAGTTGCACTAAGAAACCTTGTTTGGTTAACCATGAACAACCTAACTCAACAAAAAACAAAACAAACCATGAAAGATTAACCAACCATAGTGTTTTTGGTGCAGCTGGAGCCAAACAACACAATAAATTACATTTAAACAACAACCTATGGTTCCACACTCAACCCACACTCAATCCTTGTCCAAACCCAGCTATTACATCAGACTATCAAGATCCAATAACCAACCTTATTATTAAATAATTAATAATAATAATTATAGATCCAATGGACACAGATCCAGTGTGAATGTGATTTCCTTCACAGCGCAAGCACACATGCAGCACATGCTGCTTCTCTATCTGCTGTTCATATTCTGTACATTGTTGTTATTGTATTTTAATTGTATTGTGTAAGCCACTCAAAGGACAATAGTACAATAGTAAAATCTGGATTTTATGTGCACTATTTGTATTGTGTTCATTTATTGTATGTAAGCTGTCCCGAGGCTCATGCGAATGGGATGGCATACAAAAATTCTAAATAAATACATACATACATATAAATAACTCAAATTAAAATGAACCCCAACAATTTAAAGTGTTAAGGTGGGCAGGAAATACCAGTGTAACTGCAATGCTGTGGAAGCTGTGTCCATAGTATACTGGTAGGGCATGTGCTTTCCATCATTAAGTTTCAGAATCACAGGGCACATGGTAGTAGGGCCAGGAGGAAAATGTTCTGCCTGAAATATTGGAGAGCTGCCAAACCAGGGCAGACAATACTATCTTGATTGTACCAAGGTGCATGGCAATTTCACACATTCAGATTTCCTAGTTATGATTCTTAGTGCATCTAGTTTGCTGCAGTGGCTGGGGGCTTTGAAAATTTTCCACAGTGGAAATTCTTAAAATTCTTGTAAATAATTTTGCTTGCAGGTTTTATTTAATCCTTTTGATGACATAATTCCAAGAAGCAGCAAGAAGATGAAGAATGAGAAACCAGTGGAAGAAGTAAAGAAGGCAAAATCCAAAGGCACCAAGTAATTATAGCTTGTTATTTCCTCTTTACAAGTTCAGTTATAACACCGCATGACAAATATAGTATCTGAACTGTGTATCAAACTGAATGAAAAGTGCCCTATGAAATAACTAAATCGCACAATATCATGCTAGGGTAATGAAGCTCTGTAAATACACTTGAATGCGTTTCTCATTGCAGACTTTGCATTGGCAAAATTCAAAAATTCTGAACTTTCACATTTCCAGTAAAATCTGACTAAAATATAGGGTTTTTCTTTTTTTCCTTTTTGCTTTTGAAGAAATTTTAGCTTGCTTTCATTTGGTGAAGAAGCTGAAGAAGAAGAAGTGGAAGTCAACAAAGTTAGTCAGGTAAAGATCCAGGTTTATTGCGAAGGCTTATTTTTGTGAAGGCTTTTCCATTTGTTTAGATTTGCTTTCCTGTCAGAAGCTCCACATTATAGAACTTTGGAAGCCAATGTATAATGGTAAATAGGAGGCAGGATGAGTTCAGATAAACATTAATATAGATAAGGATCTGCTGTAATTTTAACCTAATAATTCTAGCTTCCAGAGAGTCTGTCTTCTTATATGTTGTTGTTGTTAGTCGCAAAGTCGTGTCCGACCCATCGCGACCCCATGGACATAGTTCCTCCAGGCCTTTCTGTCCTCCACCATCCTCTGGAGTCCACTTAAGCTCAAGCCAACTGCTTCAGTGACTCCATCTAGCCACCTCATTCTCTGCCGTCCCCTTCTTCTCTTGCTCTCAATTGTTCCCAGCATTAGGCTCTTCTCCAGGGAGTCCTTCCTTCTCATTAGGGGGCCAAAGTATGTGAGTTTCTTCTTCAGTATCTGACCTTCTAAAGAGCAGTCAGGTTTGATCTCCTCTAGGACTGACCAGTTTGATCGCCTTGCAGTCTTCTTACATAGTTAGAGCTGGGAACAACAGATGACAAAAGAAGGGGACGGCAGAGAATGAGATGGCTAGATGGAGTCACTGAAGTGGACTCCAGGGGATGGTGGAGGACAGAAAGGCCTGGAGGAATGTTGTCCATGGAGTCGCGATGGGTCGGACACGACTTCACGACTAACAACAACAATAACAACAACAATGCTTTAAGAATTTTCTGAATTTATGGCAGTAATATTTTTGCATTGGAGGACCATATAATTGCCCTTGTTTATAGGTCTGTTTCTAATGGACTGTGGTTTAGTTCATAAGTGGGCAACTTGTGACTCTCCAGATGTTTGGGCTTATTAGATAGCCTTTTGGCTATTGAACAGTATAAAAATAATATAAATATTACTCCTGTCAGCTCTAATGAGCATGGCCACATGTAAGGGACACAGAGAGTTGCAGTACAAAGCATCTGGAGGGCCACAAGTTACCTATTCTTGCTTTAACATTATTTGATTCTCAGTTATGCCCTGCCTTTCTGGTACAGTTGTGAGGATACGTTCACTTCTGTTTTTAACTAACCAAAGTTCATTGTTACATCTGAAGCCTAAGATTGTTGTTAATTATAATTATGGTTTATTGAAAAAAACCATCTTTAAGCAATATTTTGTGATATTGCTTTGTTTCCCAATAACCCTAACCATACCCATATTAAGATTAACCAAAATTTAGTTTAAATTTAACAATAAACATTTTATTTATTTATTCATTTTTCAATTTGTATCCTGCCTTTTTCCTGCAAAGGGCTCAAGGCAGCTTACATCATTCTCTTCCTCCATCTTATCCCCACAACAACCCTGTGAGGTAGATGGGCTGAGAGTCTGTGACTGGCGCAAAGTCACCCAGTTGGCTCCATGGCTGAGCGGGGACTAGAACTCAGATCATCTGAGTCCCAGTCCCATGTTCTTAACCACCACACCACACTGGCTCTCTACCACGCATCTCTCTGAAAGTTTGACAATGTATTCAATTAGTTATAAAAAGACAGATATATTCTTGGTGGATGAAGCTTCTGATCTAGGAGTAACTGTATAACCTATATGGATTGGCTTTGCTCCTATTGGAAGCTCCAAATGGTTTACATGTGTTCTTGAACCCAGTCTTCTGGAAATTCAGGTGGTAATTATGCTTTTTATCAGCTAAGTCTGTTTTGCCACCTTCTTGGAGAAGAAAGATCTTGCCATCAAGAAGTATGTCTTGATGCCTTCTAGATTAGATTACTGTTACATGCTCTATGGGATACTATGCAAAAAGAAAAAAAAACCTGACTGGAAACAGCATTGCTTCAGCATGTGACTGACAGACTATTATCAAGAGTAAGTTGCATGGAGCATATAAGTGGCTCCTGACTGGTTTCCTGTCACAGTTTGAAGTGCTGGTTATTGTGTTCTAAACCACTAACTCATCTGGTACTTTGTTCCTTAAAGAACACATCTTCCTGTAAGAACTTTCTCATGTAATTAGCTTACCAAGGGAGTATTGCTCTAAGTCTCCCTTCTGCCGGAATTTGTTTGGCACCTGACTTCTTCCAGGCCTTTCAAAATAATTTTTAACTGCTGCTTGATTTACTTTTAATATACTTAATGCTATATTTTAAAATAAAAAGTTCCTATGTTTTAGTTGCCTGGATGTGTATAATTTTATTGTAAATGTGTTTTAAATTACTACTGTTGCTTTTAAAACATTTAACATTTCTTTTTAAATATATGTGTTTTCTTTGTTTATTTGTATGACTCCCTGATTGCTTTGGCTGTAGGGCAACCCATAAATTAAATAAATAGGTATAAGCTTACAGCAGACATTTGCTATTGCACAAACACTGGTAACATCCAATTAAAAGTCCAGTGTATTCTTTTAGGGCTCAATTCAGTCAAGGTGCTCTTCTAGCTTGGAGGACAGTAGGCATTGGGTACATAGTGGGGAGTAGCAGAGATTATCTTTGCTTCACTGCTTCTTCTGCCTTGCATTTTTGCTAGATAGCCATTTTTTGTCTGGCCAGGGTACTTTAGAGACAGGGAAGGAGGTTGGAGTGCTGTCAGGATGCCCCATATCCAGCTTGCTTCAGACTGTTCCCTTCTGCCCCGCTTCAAGCCGCCTTCAGCATTGCTTTTTTTATCTTTACCTTAGAGAGCAGCTGGTGCTGTTCTTTCTGTGCCAGTTGTGAGGGGGCAGGGGGAGAGAATTGGAGCTCAGATGCAAAACTCCAAGTTCAGAGTGTCCAAGTTCCAGCTCCTGTGTTAGGAATATCCTTGTGCCCTTCCACATGATGTTTAGTGTATATGATTGTTCCCTCCTTCTTTGTAATAATGTTTTTTATTAGGGTTGAAAAGCAGGATTAGAAATCTTCTAAGTAAATGGGAACAAATGCAATGTATAAGATTTCTCTGCATACAGGAGAGATGCTATATTTCTTCACTGATAAATGTGTGAGATGAAAATGTGGACATTCCTCTGCAGACCCATTGGCACTAACTCATTCTTCTGTATGTTTTTAAACTTCTAATTTTAGAGTATGAAAGGTAAAAGCAAAAGCAGTCATGACTTACTGAAAGATGATCCACATCTGAGCTCTGTTCCTGCCATTGAAAGGTTAATGTTTGTTTGTCTGTCTGTCTGTTTGTATCCTGCCTTTTTTCTGGCAAGGAACACCTGTAAGATGGGTCAGCTTCTTGTCTGAGTGGGGAAATGAACTCCAATATCCCAAGTCCCAGTATAACTTTCTAATCCATTTATTTAGTTAGTTAGTTAGTTAGTTAGTTAGTTAGTTAGTTAGTTAGTTAGTAAAACATTTTTATGCCGCCCCATTCACCGAAGCCTCGGGGTGGCTTACAACAAATAAGTTAAATAACATTTTAAAATATATACATTAAAATAAATTACAAATATACAATATAAAATAAGCCGCCCTGGCCAGAAAAATTCAATAATATTAACATTTAAAATGCTGCTTGAATAAAAAGGTCTTCGCCTGGCGCCGAAAAACATATAACGACGGCGCCAGGCGGACCTCTCTGGGGAGTGCATACCATAACTTAGGCGCCACCGCTGAGAAAGCCCTCCTCCGAATAGCCACCCTCCTAATTTCTTTCACGGAGGGCTCCCGGAGAAGGGCCTCTCCCGCTGATCTCAGGGGGTGGCTATACCACATTGACTCTCAATATGCATCGATTATGTTGGCCTTTTTATTGTATTTCATTATATTTACGATGTTAAGAGTCATTATTTTAATGTTTATGTGGTTCATTGTGCTTTCTATAGCTTGCTAGCTGCCTTGGGCTGTGAGGAAGAGCAGGTTAAATCACATTAATAAATAACAGTAATTACTTGCTGTTTAGCACCTTGTCTACTTAGATATGCAGGATCCCTACTGCAGTCTTTCACTGTGTCTGGCCCATCTACTAGTATTCCATGAAGACATAACTATCCAATTTCCTAACTCTGTTCTTCCAGTTTGAGGGCGTCTTGTAGTATTGGCCACCTCTCTTGAGCACAGATGGAGAGTAAAACTGCAGATAGTGTTCCAATCATGTCAGACCATGGTTGAATATATTTCTCAATGCAGAGACAGTGAATATCCCCCCTTACCACATACAGACATGGGACACCCTTGCATAACATGGCCATGGTGGATGGGGAAGATGGTGGGTGGGTTATAGTCCAGCTCGTATAGGCTGTCTTAGGAAGAAGATGTCTTTTTACTTTCACTCTTCTCTCTCTCATCCATTTCCCTCTCATCGCCCTCAGTTTGTGATTATACCATTAGTTGATTGGATTTTGTATTTGAAATAGCAAAAAATATCAGGAGCTGATCAAGCAGGTCTTCTGGTCACCTTGAACTTGTATTGTAGGACAGAATCTCACTACAGAAGAATCCAAAAGCTCTGTAGAACATTTCTGGACCCAGCATTGCCCTTGGAGGGTTAGACGGCTGCAGTAACTGCAAGTTCCTTTGCCCAGTGGCATATCTTGCACCCTACCTGGAGAAAGCCAATCTGACCAAAGTGATCCATGTTGTCATCCACTCCCTTTTAAATTGTTGTAGCATGTTCTATGTGGGGCCTTCCTTGAATTTTGTTTGGAAATGGCTGGTAGTTCAAAGTGAAAAAGTCAGATTGCTTTCTAGTGCATGTTTCTTGATTATATGACCTTCTGTCAGCTGGTTTCCAGGCACAGTTTAAAGTCCTGGTCCTTACCTGTAAAACTCTAAATGGTTTAGGGACAGGATTTCTAAAGGTCCTTCTCCTGCCATAGGAATTAAAGATCTTCATCCAAGCCCCTGTGTACTTCCCATCAGCAGGAGAGAGTAGATAGGAGGAATCATGGGATAAGGCTTTCTCTGCAGTTGTGTCCTAACAGTGGAACTTCATCCCTAAGGAAGTTATATTGCTACTTTGATTCATTTTAGGTGGGCTGTTAACCTTTCAAGTCATTATAGCTTACTTATGATGTATTGTTACTGGTCTTTGATAAATGTGCATTGTCATGTTGTCTTTTGTATTGTTTTATGTCATCTGTGGATTTTATTATAATATAAGCTGCCCAGAGAGTCTATGGCTAGTGGGGCAGCATATACTCTGATCAAATAAATAAAATAAATAAATTATAAACGTACTAGCCCTGCTCAATTTTTAAAAGATTGCTTTTTCTCCTTCCTTTTTGCTGTGTATGATGTTCTAAAGTTTTTAAATTGTGTTAACAGTTCCTTCTCCCCTCGCCATTTACCCATATGGATCATATTGTGTATGGATTTGCTTGTGTGTTTTACCTTGTAAATCATACTTTGAGCAGCAACTATGCTTGCAAGTTAAAATCTCAGACTTTCATAAAAGAAAGCCAAATCTTAGGGTAGTGTCCAATGGCAGTATAGAGGTATTGATATAAACCAGTTTCAGATTGTGGTTTATTTCTTTCTTCACTAAGCCAGTTAGGTTGTTCCTGTGTTGGTTACATCAGCACAATATCAGCAGCACACTCTGTTGGATGCTTTCCAATTGTTCCATTGAAGTTCTCATTAGTGTAAAATATATAAAGATAAGCTACGGGGAAACCTTTGATCTTTAAAGGAAGAGTAGAATCTAAAATAGAAGAAGGTGGTGTTAAGTGGTTTCACTAAAAGAGGAAAGGACGGGCTAGAAAGGTCATTTAGTCCTGGCTACTAATATTTGTCAACTTTTTAGAATCCTTGCTCCTCTCTGTGCTTCTGTTGTCAAAAATACACATGTAGATAAGTAGAACTCCAGTGACTGAAGTTTTTATGTAGGTTTGTATTTGTACCATTTGTGTTTTGTTTTCATTGGATTACTTAATAGAGAAGAATCTACTTAAATAAATTGTCTTGCCTTTCAGTGAAAATACAAATGAAACTGGTAACTCAGATGAGGTGAGTTGCATTTCTACACCAGTATGAAGTCCATTTTTCTGTATGATTATCATTGTTGCAAGAAAGTCATGTGTTAAAGTTCGTGCATGCTGTCATTATCCCAGTATGACTTTTTGTGTCAGTTGCTGAGCTATTAGTAGGATCTAATTAACAGCTTTTATAGGCTGAACAGCTTCTGTCAGCAGGATGGGGAGTGGTCAATTTCCAATTCTCCCCGAAGCCTCCTGCATGCCCACCAATTTTGCTCTGGGATGCTGCAGGGGAGAGGAGAGATGGGGAAAGTCCTCTGCAAGTGGGAGTCCAAGTAGTGCTATATTGGGCCCCATCTAATTGTGGCCTTTCTTTATCTCTGTTAACAATTAGTAGTGTATACTCATGATTGGAGGGAATTATTAAGATACTCTTTTCAGAAACTCTGGATAGGGTGTTTAAAGGTCAAAACAATAGCTATGGCTACAGTTAGCTGTTCTGTACATGGGATAAAAATTGTTAATTTAAAAATGCTCACTTGGGGAGCTCATGATCAAGTCTTACATGCTGTGAAAAATTTGGCCGTTTGTCCCCTGGCATATTTGCCTGTCTCGCTCCTCAGCTTTCTGATATTTACATAGTGGGCCTATGTAGGTAGCTCCTGTTTGCATGATGTGTACATCTAGATTGGGGTAGGCCTCCTTTCGGGATGTGGGCACATTTGGCGATTTGAAATTGTCTTAGGCATTGCTGCCAAATGGCCACCATGGGAGGCATGGCAAAAGAAAAGCAAAGTGTCCAAAAGGCTGAGTACAAGGAAGAAGTTAGAACTGAAACAATTCTCTTGAACGCATAGTTTTCAATGCAAACAGAAATCTATTTCACAACTATTCCAGCTTCCAATAAGAAAATGTGTTTTTTAAAATGGGAGGGGTTGGGCACCTTGCTAGGCAACAAGAAAGGTGTTCTGGGGCACATTGGCCCTTAGATCACCCTACTCATGATCTAGATCTTGTGTTGTACAATTTATCCAGGCTGGACCTTGAAGCACAGGGCTCTGTATTTGTATAAGATCCTAGAGGCATAACAAATACCTCACAATCTCCAACCCCAATTACCAGCACATCTCCAATTCTTACAGAATTTGAACATCTACACAGGGTTGAAAATTCAGACAATGAAATTGATAGAGAGAAGAAACATCTAATACAAATATTGCTTTGGAGTAATTCAGGCTGAAAAGCCATTTCAATGTTGGGCAAAAGGTAGTTGAGGTATTTAAGAAGCAACGATATTTGGTCATAACATAAAATTCCAAGGCTGAAGTGCAGAATGCTTGAGAACTTAAATAATAAGGAATATTTCTTTCATTCTCTTAATATTTTATAGTTTTAGAAATTTGTTTTTATATGAAGCTTCTAGATATGTATGAACAAACATGAATGAATATTCCAACAACCTGTTTGCTCAGGAGGAAAAGGATGGATACGATAATGAAGATGATGGTATTGACAGTGATGAAAAACATAAAATGAAAGATCGCATTATGAAGAAGTTAAAGAAAGATACCAGTCTAACTGCTAAAAAAGCAGCTAAAGAGGAGGAAGCAGAGATGAAAATTAGCCGCAGGTAAGTAATATATTATTTTGAATTTACTGAGCTATAGTAAAGTAACCTTTCAAAGATTGCCCAGTTGACATTTAAACAAAATGTTTAACTGACTCATTCTTAAGTTTGCTCTTCTGAATATTTGTGTACATATCTGCACTAATTTCCTATGCAAACAAAATGAAGAATGAAGAAGAATCTTACTCTATATAGAGTGAAAAATGCCTGAAGTTCAAGCTAAATTCTGAAAAGGAAGAGGCAGACTTTGCATTATAGCCCCTTCCTTTCTGTTCTACACTTTGTCTCCACATTAGTCCCTCAATTTCTTCTGAGACCTGTCTTTTCATGCAGATGTTCCCAAGGGTGACCCAGCCAGTACAGTTGTAGCTGATCAGTGATCATCTCATTGTGCTTTCAGCACGATGTTATGCTTTATTAAACCAGGTAGTTACTTTGAAAGTTTATTAGAAACTGGGGTATAAATTTATGCAATAAATGTGCTCATAATTTCCTAGACATTCATTAGGATGGCTTATTACTTCAACCCAGTTCCTTCTTCCTAGTTCTGTATATCATTCAGACTTTGTTTTTAAACAATCAGATTTTTTACTCCTACTGCATGGACTTTATTTCTATTTTGCTTACAACCTTTATTTTTGTCATCACCACTGTAATTGTAAAGAAAAATCTACATTTAAAGGTCTGACTCAGTGTTACAGATGCATTCCTGTAATTTCCTCCTGCCTCTGCCATGCTTCTCTTTTTCTTTTTTAAAGAAAAGCCGCCTTGGCGACTGCCAACAAATGTAAAAAAATCAGCAGGTAGGGAGGGAACTTAACTCTTTTCCCTGCTTGCCAGTTTTCTGCTCAAAATCTCACACAAGCTGCTGCCTCACACTCTTCCTGTGAAGGGTAAAAATGTTAACTTCTGTATCTTTTACCCTGCAAAAGCAAAAGCAGCATAGGGGGTGTTTTTCTGATCAGGGAAAATCTTGTATCTTGTGCTTCCAAAAGAAAGAAAGGAAGAAAGGAAGGATGGAAGGAGAGAGAGAGAGTGTGTACCAGCATGTTATATACGGTTTTGTAGTAATTATTTCTTTACTGTTGTGCTATGTGTTTTGTCTGCTTGAAAACATATAATCTGTTCTATTATTTCCTATTCTACTTTGGCTTTCATACTTAAGGGATCTTTAGTAGTATCACACAGGGAGCATTCTTATGGGTTGCTGCCCTAGTGACTGTAAGGCCCTGAACGTGGAAGCTTGTAAGCACCCTGCATAGAGCAGAAGGAGCAACACAAGCAGCCTTCATGTCACCATCCTGCCGCCCTGCATTTTTCACAGGATGGTCTTTTTTGCCCATCTAGCTAGGGCACACTGGAAGGATAGGGAAGGAGGCTGGAATGGCTTCAGGATAGCTTTCAGTGCTGAGCTGAAAGCAGCAGAATGACATGCAGCAAGGAGAAGTGCCTAGAAAAAAGGAACCAAAACCAGAATTACAAAATTCCAGCATTTTCAAGTGTTCAGATGATACTTGTCCCATGGATGGTTTCTCCCATCTCAGCTGTGATCCTCTCATTGGCCCTTTGGTTGCTTCTCTCACTAGCACCATCCTTACCCAATCACGACATTTTTGTTTTGAAAATATCATTTCTATTTTGTAATAATGTATTCAATGGTACTCCAGAGCATGGTCATTCTGTAGGTTAAGAAATCTGTTGATAACCCAACCCTGACTGTTGCTTCTGTATAACTTTATCCTGGAGTTTTGATAGCTTGTTGGTTTTCACAGTGCTGTTGTTTAGATATAGTATGTTTTCATCAAATTCTGGGACCTTTCAGAAACAGGTATATGAGATGTGATGCTGAAATTGCACACAGATGGACTCAGTTCAGCTGTGTACAGTATGTGACTTCTGGAGGCACTGGCACTATCTAGGCATGTCACAGCAGAAGCGTTGAATACCATTTTTTCCAGTGGCACTCTCCCTAAATTTCCAAAGTTTATTTATTCACACAACTATTACACAGTAAGTTACACAATACACAAAATACACAAGGGAGCCATATGGCCAATGGGGTGGGTTAGAAATCTAATAGTGGTAGTAAGTATGCTACAAATAAAACCATATAAACGAAACCATAAATCAGGTGTAGCAAAACATAACACTAAAAAAAGACCAGCCATAAATCAAGGTGGTGCCCCCTTTAAAGCCACCCTAGCTCTTATCTTTTTAGCTGCCTGAGCAAAAAGAGAAACTCTGTAAGACACATATGCACCCACATCTGATAACAGGAACACTAATTTCCTGAATCAGAATAAGCATTAAATGTGGGTAGCATGCTAGTCAAGATTTTTTCTCTGGGTTCAGAAGAAATTTAATAAATACAGACATAAAACAATTAGTATCAAGGAGAAATACAAATTGTAATATTTATCTGTTCTTGCATGGCATTCACAATGGGCTCCCATTCAAGACTCTGTTTGAGTTCATTCCTACTCTGCACTGGCTTCCAACTGAAGTCAAGGCCCAATTTAATGTGCTAGTGATGACTTATAAAGCCCTGAACAGCTTAGAACCTAGATATTTGAAGGCGTTCCTCCTTCCATATATACCTGCCCATCCTCTAAGATCTGGAATGGAGGTCCTTCTTTGGGAGCCTTCTTCGAAGGAGATCAGAAGAGTAGCTGGCACTCCAGCTATGGAATGGGCTCCCCAAAGAGGTGCCCCTGGCACCAATGCTTTTTTCATTTCTGCACCAGGCCTTTTATTTTCCCATTATTTTAAAAGTTAGTAGTGTTTTAGATTGTATTTTATCTACTGTTATCTGGATGCTGTATATTACTCATTTATTCTATTGTATCACTGCCCTGAGACATTGTGAAGTGTGGGATATAAAAGCTTTAAATACATACATACTCAGATTTGACAATGTTTCAGCATCAAGAACTTACAGTAAAATTAATAGGCCTAAAACCATATATAAATTTGTCAAGGTCCTGTTGTGCCAACCTGCTCATCCATTGTTCAACTGCAGACATTTAGAAGCCTCCATTCATGGCTGCATAGTAGTTTCAAGTTAAACCATACAAATCATACTCTGAAGCATTTCTCATCTGTGTATTCGTATCTAGTTGTCTGTGTATCTTCTCTCGACATTTTTAGCATTTAGCATTTCATCAAATACTGAGTTACTTACAGACATACCAAAGCAAATAGAGTTGAATTAATTTTTCAGGGTTCTGCTTTAAAAACCAATCGATTTAAAAACAACAATATTTCACTACAGTATTCATTTAGTAATTGTAAGAAAGGATTTAACATGAAAATATTATCTTTTTCAAGATGATTCCTGTTTTATGCAGCTGGAAGTTGGTGATAAGGCATATTCTCCAGAGAGAATTTTAATGATGCTGATTCAACCCTTTGTTGATCAAAGCATGCAGTGATTCATGGATCTAGGGCGTCGACAGTCATAGAATGGAATCCATTGTGCATGACTACATGGGAGGTTCTGGGAATGTTTCATAAAACATCTGATAGCTATCAGTGTTTTCATTTTGTCCGAAGTTAGATCAGCAATAGAGTGTTGAAAGTTGGAATATTTTATTTAGTGCATTCACATTTACAGTAAGTCTGTTGCAATGGCCCAAATGGTAAATTTCAAATACCCCAAAAATGGGGCAGGGGGGTGAAATCTCTTATTTTGTTAGAAGAGTTCAAGGGTTCTGTTTCATATTGCTAGGAATTAAGAGTCTAAAGGTGGCTATTCACACTACTTTTAATAGATGTAGCCCATGTCAGTTGTGAAGGACTCATGAGTATGTGAACTTCTATATCCTCCTCATGCCACTGGGGTGAGGGGAGGGGGCTTGTCACATTGACACCTGTGAACTGGAAGAAGCTGACCTTTCACCTCATGTGGCCTACTTAAGGCCCTGATGCCCAGGGCAGTACCCATTTGGTTGTTGTTTGGTGCAGGTTCAGGTCCCAGGCTTTTGTGTTGGGGGCAAAAGACCACCACCACCTCAGTCTGACAATCTGAGAGGGTTATCATGAGGATAAAATGAGACCGTTTCTTTCTGAAATACTGTAGTTGCTCCCTGCATTGAACAGGGAGATTAATTAGATGGCCTCAGATTCCTTCCGGCTTTGGAAGGAACTTTGGGTACACTTCACAAAATAAATTATTCCTTCTAAGTGCCTGCTTGAGTACTAGTACTGATGATTGATTGGGGTGCAAAAGACCTATAGTAATTTGGAAAAATTAGGAATGTTCTTTTAGTATTACAATTAGAAAGGCAGTTCCAGAGCAATATAGTCAATGTGATGGAACTGTTTTTCTCCAGTCCTAAACAAGTGTTCTACACTATCGCAGAAGTCAGGAAAACAAAATCACATTTTAAGAACTTACTGGTTGAAATACTAAATATTACTGAGGCCTGGTTAAAAGTGTGAAAGTAGTCACTTTGACATTAGGAGGTAAGCCGGGAGATGTGGACATGACCTGGCTTTGCCCACCTGGTTACTCAGTGCAGCACCAGCCCAAGCTAGAGGGCTATGGGCAGTTGCTATATTCCATACAAACTCAATTTCACTCAGCAGGCAAACCATCTGCTCTGAGGCAAGAGCCTGTATCTTCTGTTGGAAATGCTATTTGTGTACCATCTACCTGACTGCCCAGTGGCCTCCCTGACCAAGCTGATTGAGTATATCTTGGATGTGGTATTAGAGAACTCTAGAACTATTTTCTTGGAGGACTTCAGCAGCCATATTGAGGCTGTCTTAGCAGTGCCATGTTGGAACTTCATATCTTCCATGACAACCATGGGTCTGTCTCAGTTTGTCATTGGTCCAATGCATAGGGCAGGGAATACCTTTGATTTGGTTGTTGCCTTTTGACATTTGGAGGGGGTCTGGAGTGAGGAAATGTGAGGAATCTGTTTTGGGAGTGGGAATTTATCAGATTCCTTTGACTTGGCTCCACAGATCCTGGTCCAATTTGACATGGCCATGAGTCT